TCTACTTTGAGTTGTGCAAAGCCCACAGCCAGTCAGTCTCATTTCAGGAGAACAACAGGGATGGGAACATTACACAGAATTCTGTCAGCCTCCCTTTCTATTTACAGGAAATTGCCTATTTCATTTAATATTTTCCAATGCATGTAAAATGTTCACTTAGCTTTTCTGGATGTTTTTCTCAATCATGATTAAAATTCAAGGGCTTATTTGGTCATCTTCATTAAGTTACCAAAAAATCTCACTTAAGGCTTTTCTCTGAAACCGTTCAAAATAACACAGCGTTTTTACTACAGAAAAATGGTAGGAAATTCATCTAGAGCAGAAAGGGTTCCAGACAAAACCTCTTTCTGCTCTGATATTTTCATTAGAGCATGAGGGATATGCTGCAAAGAGGACAGCATCATTAAGAGAACATCCTTTCTCGGGTCAGGTACCACTGCATTAGGAGCCCATTCCCATCTCAAGGGCTGACAATGTTTCTCACTTCTGGCTGTGCACATTGCTTTACAAAATCTTGGGCTTTTTCTTGCCAAGAGGTGAGATTTAATTGCAGCAAATCTCTAGCTCCTTAACAGATTCATCCCAGTCTCTTTTCTGCCCACAGGCCTAAGGGGCACAGCAAGTCTTCTCTAGATACCCTCTTCCAGCTTTTACAGCCTCTTTTGGTACTTCTCAGAATACCATTCCCAAAGTGCCTTGTTTGCTAGGAAGAATGTTTTGCTCGAGCATTTATTTTGTTATCAAATGGCCAGGAAGTATTCAGGCTGTAGAAGCTCAAATCATAAAAAGAATAAGTCCTGCTGCTGCAAACAGAAGGCATAATCTGGTGATGATGCATGAGATTGAAAACCAATTCCTCTATATTTTCTATTATCAGATCACCTCCAGCAATAAAGGGCAACGATTTATAAGATGGTCATGGGTGCTTTGACACTCACCAATTTTAGAATCATTTTTCTTATCGGATATTCACTTGAAATACTTTGCACTTGCTTTGTAGTTAAATTCTTCCAAGCCTCGTAGAAATTTCCCTAATGCTAGTAGCATTGTTGCTACATTGAACTTCTTTGCTATGGGATAAAAGTAACATCATGCATTGGACATGATTAGAACTTAACAAATCTTGGTAATGCCAGTTTTACTGAGTTATTGCAAAAATAATTCACAACTCTAGCCTGCAGACCATGTCACCCACAAGCCAACTAACAGTATATAGGTTACATCGCACAATGGACAAGCTTTCAGACTTTGCAAAGTCTTGATTGACAGCATACATGTCATTAATCCCAGTAATTGGCAATACTTAATAGACTATTAAGTAATTAAATACTACTATAATGAATTGTATTACTACATTTACTGCTTTTCCCTCATCCACATGACCAGTCATTTTACCCTAAAACGCAATGCAGCTGGTCAAGCCTGAATTGTCCTCGTGAATATTTACTGGCAACTGCCAGTATCACCTTCTCCTTCGCATGCCTGGAGGTAGATCCCAAGAGCACATGGTCCACAATTGTTCTGAAGATGGGTACAAGTTCTCCAGATTCTTGTCTTCATAGCTAACAGGCATTGCTATCACACTGACCAGTTCTTCTAGCATGGTTAAGTGAATCCTATGCAGTCCCAAGGATCTGAATACACTCAGTTCTTCAAAGTCTCTCTAACATATTGCTCCCCTGGTGGCAGCTGCTCCTCTTTTACCCAAAGGCTGCTGGTACGTACAGAGGAGTGGATGCAGGCTTTGCCTGTGAAGACTGATAGCCAAGAAACCCCAAAGCATCAAGAGTTCCACCTATTCCACATTTACCACAAAAGCTCTTCCTCTACCATCATCACGTCTTATCTGAACTTCCTTTCGTAACTCATTTAACTGTAAAATACCTTCATATTGTTGCTTACATTTCTTGACGGTCTTAGTTCTTATGGGATTTTGGTCTTTCTGATTTTGCCCCTAAGTACTGGAGCAACAATTTTATATTTCTCCACTACTGCCCACTTCTGTTTCTGTCTTTTGCATGTTCTCTTTTTCCATCTTAATTCATTGAGAAGCTTCTTTCTTAAGTCAAGCACTCTCTCACACAAAAATCACTCATTTTCTTGCATAACAGAATTGTTCATTCCTGGGTTCTCATCAAGTTTTAAAACTAGGAATGCTAGGCACCCTTCCCTTCAGGGATGCTTCTCCAGGACTTCTGCTTCTTACAGATTCCTTGAATTACTGACCCTCAACAACAGCCAGAGAAACTAAACTCAAGCCCCTCTATCTTTTGAGGGCAGCTGAAGATTTCTGGACAGAGGATGTTTTATTCGACTACTTTGAATAAAGCTTCTGGACAAAACACTCATGTAAGCACTGCCAGAATAACTTATTACATTTATTGTCTTATATTTATTTTGATCCCATCAGAATAGTATCCTTCAAACAGAATGGGGCAGTTGTTCCTCATCCTTTCACCAACCCAAAGCTATCAGCTAATGTATAGGTTAATCTCAAATGCAAATGACAATTAGCCGCATAACCCTATGTGTGTAATCAAGCCTCAGAAGCAACAAATGTAACCTGCCACTCTCAGAGAAAAACCTGGGCTTTAAAACGGGCCCCACATAAGTCAGGACTATGCTACTTTACGACAGGTGACGACTTCAAATCCAATGACACCGAAGGGATGGTTGTCAAGGACGATGTCAAAAGACAAGAGGGGAAACTATTATACCTTGGTGATCTTTAAACAATTCTAAACTGCTTCAGCAGCAAAGCCCACAGGCCAACAAACATTTTACATCTTCTTATGCTTCACATAAGAGTAGAAAACGCACACAAGCATTTTCCAACTGCCTTAGTCTGGTACAATGACACTTCCATTACAGTAATTTGCACTGACATGTGACCTTTCCTTACGATTCAAGAAGCAAAAATTAATAACCCTGAGATATACAAAGTGCTTCACGATACTCCAAGTCAGTGCTCTACAGTGAACGCAGGCGAATGCACAAACATTGACATTAATTTATTCTCACTTCACATTTGCATCTTTTTGCTCTTAACAATTCTACTTTTGCTTGAAATAAAAAGGATTCCAGTGAATGTTTATTAGGACTCTTCCTCACCAACAGAAAAACATTTCAGTTTCTTTGTTGCAGAGAGGCAGGAAACCAATTATGTCTCACATTCAAAAAACAGGAAAGGCATACAACATTAGCAGGCAGCAGGTCAGGTATATACACAGAGAAATATATTTTCTTGATAACCACTAATTAAATTATAGAATCCACTGTCACAGGACACTGTCGAGAGTAAGTGCTTACTACAAGCGATTAGAGGAATGCACAGGGTACAGGTCTGTCACATGTTATTAAACATATTTCTTAGAATACAACTGGCTCAGGAAGTATCTGAACAGCTGGCTGCTGAAAGCAGGCGTGCTGTGCTTGGAAAACCATCACTTGGTACACGACCTGATGGCAGGATTTGCATCCATTCCTTGCTCCAGCAGGAGGGAAGACAGACGGCTAGAGGAATCTTTGTTCTGACTCAGGAGGAAAGTCCCTTTTCTATAGAATTTGGCATTGCCCCTTCCTTCACTGAGGAAGGCGTAGTAGATTTAGAGAAAAAGTAAATACACACACTCAGGTGCACATGACTGACTCCCACTGACTTAGTATTCTCAAAACTTATTTGCTACAGTGAAGGAGAGTATAAACTGCAATATTCTCCTTTCTCTTCAATATTTAATAGGATTCAAAGCTATGCAGAAAGAACAGCCAGAACAACACAGAGATGTTAAAAAAGCTGATTTTTCATCACCCCTGCACACCTCTAATAAACCTAAGAACCTTTCCTGTACATTTGAGTAGCTCAAATGATGATGATCTCAGGCCACGTGTGGACATTTTGGACATTTCAACACTCTATGCTACGTTTACATGTAGGCAGATAAATTGTTTCAGGATACATCACTCACTAAAAAGTGTTCCAGGATGCAGCTCCACTGAAAGAATTATGCAGACAGTGTAACAAAACTAGCACCTTATTGCTTCAGCCTTCTGCGAAATGAAAACCCATCTTTCAAGTATTCTATTCAAAATGTATCACTCACTCTGTCAATCGATGCCTCCAGCTAATGCATATGAAATACAAAAAGCATCTTTCTTATTCAATGGATTTTTCTTCTGTAAAGCAGTATTCTCAACCAGCAAAAATGAAATTTTAAGATAACTCCTTTCATGAGTTCCCAACTTCTCCCAAGCCCTATTATTCCAAATGTAAATACCAATTCATAAAAATAATATTCAACTCACATAAATTCCCAGCAGTTCAAAACTTTATTTCTAAAATATTTTCTTTATGAAAAAGCAGAACAAAACGCTCACTTTCTTTGGAAATAATGTCTCCAAATTTAAAGTAAGAAAACTTGGTTGGAAAAAATTAATTTCATGATGTGCAGTGCAGATAGAAATCCTTGCTTTTAGAGATAAGGGCAAAATAGTGAACAGAGTTTGCCAAAGAGAGAAGAAAACTACCTTTTATAAACAGTTTATATGGAACAGCTTCTGATGTCAGAGAAATACAACTTTTATATTACTTGCTTTAAGACGATATTAATAACTTGTTAATTCAGTTGCTTTCTGTGTTTTATTTTTAAGTCAAAAACACTCATTTATTAAGCACAATATAGGTTTCTGTCTCCTCTCAGAAAACACATTCTTACTCAACTTTGCTCACTTCTTTGTTCTGATACACATCTTTGGTCCTGAAAGCATAAAATAGCAAGGTGTATTGCATACAGTCTTTTAACTGTTTGTTCATTAATAACAAGATATTGTAAATACAATATGCACATTTAACTTGCACATATTTTGTCTCATACCAAAATGAATTTAAGTATTGTTATGCACTGGCTACAATACTTTGCTGTAAACTGTAAAATACAGCATCCAAACTCCAAGTATAATTCTTGGAACCTACTCTTTTCAACAATAAATGGTACTATTAATCCAAGGAGATTTCAATGCAGGGAAAATGCTTAGAAAATGTATTTTACAGCAATGCACTTTTCACATATTTTAACACACACAGACTCTGATTGAAAAGAGTCCGTAAATGAATCCAAGTTTCCTCAAGCTGTGTTGACAATCTGGATATTTCTTCTAGCAGCTTTGGCTCTGATGAGAGGATCTTAAGATGCAACTGAAAATAAAAAGGAGGAGTAAGTGAAAAATTCAGACAAAAACAAGAAGTTTGTGAAATAAATTCAGATGATCAAAATTTAGAGCATCAGCTTCCTCGTTTACTTCCACAGGTTTGCCTTCAGTAATCCCCCCAAAAAAGACAGACTATTTACTTGCAATTGATTCCCTCCATTTAATGCTGCCATCAGTTTACCAGAAGACTTTTTTAATCATTTTACTCCAACATGTATAACTACATAGGATACAGCAGCAAGTTGTCTTTAGCACATTGCTGCTGAAGTAATGCAGCAGTAACTAGTAACTACTAGTTACACTTCTGCCACTAAATGTATCCTCATCACACACTTCTCCAGAGAGCAACTTTCCATTTTTTCTAATTTGCATAATGAATATCTCTTCAGACTAGAAAGGCTAAACATATGCCCTGAGGTCACCAAAATTCATTATTTAAATAACTTGTGTTGCATAATGCAAGGAGGATGATGCCAGCATACTCTAAATTGATACAGGGAGAAGATGCCTCCAAAGAATAAACAGAAATCTTGCAAAAAAGCATAATTAAAAAAAAAACTCTTATTAGAAGCAATACTTTTTACCACTTAATAGATCAACTAGTTATTTCCTTTGCCTCAACTCAAATCTAGGAATTTTGCTACAACAAAAGCTATCTGTGCTCAGGTATTCCAGGAGTTTAAGTTTATATTAGTACTTCAGAGCAGCAGTGTATCTCTCAGTATGAAACTAATCCACAAGATGAACCCTGGCACCTAAGGTTTCAGCTACTAATGGTCTAGAGATAATCTATATTAAAAAAAATCAAAAAAAAAAATCACTGTAGGTATCAGGACCTCTCAGTCACAACTGTTTCACTTTACAAATCTACTCCTATTGCTCTGAACTACTTGCTCTATGGACACAGACCAGGGACTCTGCCCAACCCAAAGAGAGGAAAAAAGGACAATAATAGTCATATTTGTTTGGCATCACACTCCCTATACTTTCAAAACCAATTCCTGCAGTAGCACTATTAGTAAGTGTACATTAATCAGACATTATCACATGTGTCTCAATGCTTATCACTACTTTTCCTATTAAGTTGTAGTTATCTTCTCCTACAGTTTCATGCACTAGAGTATGTCAGAATGCCAAATATGTTACAAAAAAGAAAATAACAATCATATCATCACTGGTAACCAATACTAGAATAAAGCTTGTTCTTTTTACCACATCTGTTTTTTAGACTTTAGACTTTTAGACTTTTTTAGTCTTTAGACATTTTATATTTTTTTTAGGCTTTTTTTTTTTTTACGACTCTGACCAAAAAGACATTTAAGATAATTCCTCAAAGTGGAAGAAAATCTGCACAGGCAATTTATATCCTGTTACTGGGGAATGATCATTTTGTGACCGACACCAAATTTTAATAGAAAAACATTACCTTTAAAAACAGTGCAAGATATGCTTGAGCAAGTTCAAAGTTGTACTTCTTGGTCAGCATCATGCCGATCATCCTCAAGAAACTCAGCATCACCTCCACAGAGCCGCCGCCTTCCGGGGCCAGGCCCCTGAGTTCTACCTCAATGTTGGACGGTCCCAGGTCTTTCAGTAAATTAAGTGGAGCTGTATCTATGTTAAAGTATTGAAGGATAAACAGTTGGCAATGTTTGCAGAAAAGCACCCCAGAAACTCTTCGTGCGAACGATTCTTCAGCAGTTATTTGGAAACAACATGTCTCAAATCCATTTTGTTTCCCTACTTTATTTTTACCCCAAATGCCATCCTATTTTTACCTCCTCATCTCATACTACAAAGAAGCGTAGCTCTAGTAAGATAGATGTATTCTATTTATAAGTTTGCTCAAAAAATACAATCAACATCTTCAAATCTGTATTCCTTTTATTAATTCTCTGTTTTAAGTTGTACAAAATTTCTAATTAACCATATAACAGTCATGTTGCATTGCTCCTTAGCAAAAAAAAATGATTCACTTGGACTTCAAGCTGTTATTATTATCAGAAGAGAAAAACTGCTTAGTACTTCTGCCAAGAACCTTTTTAAACTTAATGCTCTTAGTATCAAGCTTCATTTAAGAATAATCTGGCCCTTCTAAGGCACAACTGGTATTATTAAATACATTTCTCTAGTTTTCCCTGGAAAAAAATATTTTCCTTGTAGAAATAGGCACAATTTACAAATAACTCTTTCTTTTGCTTTGTAAACATATTATTCAGTATTTCTCCAATCCCGCATGCACTTTGAGAATTACATTCACGTACTTTATAAACACAGAAATGAAATTTTGCATGGTCACAAACGCAGCTGTTTGTAATGTTTTCAAAACCTATCTTCTGATTAGCACTTCAGTTTCTGGGGTTGCTAAGAAGAAACTGTAACTAACAGCACTGGATGTTGACGCATATTCCTTAGGCGATATATTCAATTCTACCTCTGAATATTTGATTGCTGAGAAAATCATTAGTGCCACTGAAACATTAATAGTACTGATAATACTCATTTTTTAAATTTCTGTACCACAGGAGATTAAAAAAATAGGGAACACACTGTGAAATTGATACACATGGGAACTGAAACACGGGAAATGTCTCCAGCACAATCTACGTCCCACTGTCCTGCTCCTAGATGCAAACCATGCTTCCACCCCAATGGTGCCCCACCAGCATGGCTTTGACTACGTTATCTGTTTATGTCTAGCGGCCTTTGAAGAGCTGTTTGTAAACTGGGCAGCTCGGAGCTGTACTGCAACCAGCAGCTTCCTGGGTCTGGACCAGAGCACAGAGTCTGGAGCACATCCCCCTTGCAGCAGAGTTGGCCTGAGGGCAGCCCTGGGAACCCCAACACATGGTGCCTGGGTAGACCTGCTCCCCAGAGGGACAGCCATTGATTGTTAAATACATACAGATTTTTAAATTATATTAGTTATTATATTAATAGCAAGTATATACATTTCCACAGGCAGTTTAAGAGACCAAACTTCAAAGAAATCAAGAAATCCAGCACATGGTAATTATAATTAATTATTTCTTTTTAGGATTTAAATTGTAAAGCAATTACAATCAAAATGCACAGTCTTCCTGAAACTTTAGAGAAATAGCCTTTGAAACAGAACTTTTTAGGAAAACTACCTTTTTCATGTTTCACTAGACCACCAGTTTATGACTTCTCAGATGTTTCCCTTCCTTTCTGACTCTACAGATAATTCACAGCACCTTTTCTGGGCAACATCATCACAATCTCAAAAATGTCTATCTCAGGAATGTTATCTGCTTTCTCTACACATTTTTTCATTTGAGCTAGGCTTCACACTGCTGGCAAGCTGGACAAACACCACTCTTTGATCTAGTTTGGCTATATACACATTATTCAGTTCTATGCATAACAACTCATTTTCTTTGCTTTTGCTACTGTACTGTGCATTTTTTTCCCTCAACTCTGCCTTTAAAAACAAATATTCATCACAATACTAGTGAAATACATTTTCAGTGAAATAACTTGTTAACTTACACTCATTAGTGCTCAGGGCTTCTTCAAGATGAATGCAGAAATCAGATTTCTGTGCCAGTACTCCCAGGTTTACTACCTTTGACTAGATTGTGAAAGTATAACAGAGTGTATATGAATATGCAACATAATTTTATATACCAATTATTTTCTTACTGACAGAACAAGAGATTTGAAGACATCAATGTCAAAATTACTTTGGAAGAATACACAAGGCATTCAGTATCACATAAAGTCCTGTTTTTACCTGAATATCATTTTCTTGTTCTGGAGTAGCATACCGTGGTATAAGACCAGGAATGGTTGGGATGAAGAAGGGAGCAGATTTGGGAACTTTCGGTGGCTCTTTTGGCTTATTTTTTTTCTGTTAGTTAGAAACATGAATTAGAACTCATCGTCATAGTAAGAAAAAACAGGATTTTTGCTGTTATTAAAAGAATTACTTTTAAAATCTGTATTGTGAAAAGTGAAAGGACTGACTGAAAAGTTAAAAGATAGGAAAAACATTTTACCACTTACTATGAAGATATTTAGTTGAACAACTCCCCACCCTAACCCCAGAAACTGTGAAAAGCAAGTCTTCTACTGCAAAATCCTAAACAACAGAAGAAAGGCGGGATACAGTCTTGAACAGAAAAATGCAACTCATATGGCCAAATATATCTGGCTGTACGCCATGTTTTTTTCCCATCCTCATCTAAGTTATGGGAATGCCTGACAGTGGTTTGGAAGCACAACCAAAAACAACCTCACAGGAACTTATTAAACTACGTTGACACTGAAATATGTTCCTTCAGATAGCTATTTAAGCCTTGTAGAATAATATACAAAAATACTGAACAGTCCTTCCTTCTTAAGCACTTTTTGAGTATTATAGAAACAGTCGAGACATCTGTTTTACATTATAGGAGAAATAACTTTTTTTTTAACTTACTTTGAAAAACCAAAGCAAACCAAACAATAAAAAGCACTCACGCATGCATGCACGCACACACCCCACATACTACACCAGGTAAGTGATAGCATGCCTATATTATTACCTTGATGATATCAAGATTGAGGAGATTCTTCCACCGTGACTCAGGTAATAAGGAGAGGGTTACCAGCTGCTCCCCCAGCTGCTCAGGTGAATCATATTCTATCATTTTATCAAATGTTTCTTCATCTCCTGCTTCTTCATCTTTCAAGAACAAGTATCTTTGTTAACATATGTACTTCACTTTTTTTTTTTTTTTAATTAAAACATGACATTTCTTCTGCGATTTTTTAAAAATGTGTATCACAACAGACATATGAATTGGTGTTAGCACAACATACAGTGGGTAAACTACAGAATCTTAAATAAATTACTTCACCTAGATAATAAAGGCCAACAGGAAGAATAATAAAATACTTAAAAGAATTGTTACCGAATGATTTTAAAATATGTATGGAGCGATCTTAGTTCTGTGGTACTCATGTATGCACAATATTCATAACCTGTTCACAGCTGTGACTGAAGCTGCATATAAAAATGATGAAAATCATAATATTATAGCACAATGTCACACAGTAAAAATCTGGATTCTGCCCTTAAATCTGCTCTAGAATTCTATGTGGTCTTGACCATTTTCACTTTCCCCTTATCTGCAAAATTAACTAGTTTACACATGGCTGAAACTACGAATACCACAGAAAAGCCTAATGCCACAAAGAAACTTAAAACATTAAAAGCTTAGAGCAGCCAGACAGAAGCCTTACATATGCTGAAGACAAGAAGTGAATTCATGTGTTTGGCAGAACCAGGCACTGCTTACAGGATTAGACCATTCAAAGTATTGGGATGAACTCTTCTCTCCCTAATTCAGGGATCTGAATTAAACATATGCTTAATGAAGCAGTCATGGCTAATTAATTTCTTGACTAGGCACTTATCTTAGAGCTGCTAGACTTGAGCAGACAAGATCTCCCTCTAGAGGCTTTCAAAAGCACAATTATTTCTATTGTCTCAGAAATACAATTTAGACCTTTTTTTCCCACCGGGAATCCAACAAGAATTCAAGCAAGGCAGGCTGAACCCAGTTGTCTTGCCACAATGACAATACCCACTACCAAACCTCCTATGGAATACAAGCAGGAAAAAAGTCAGAGGAAAGAGGAATAAAAACAATTCCCCCACTGATTTTTCACGGAGAAAGCTGTGTGTCTTCTAATAGAATTTCAGTACAAAAATACTCTTAGTCTGAAGGTTACCTTGCACAGGTCTCGTTCCAGGAAGCATTACTGTAGCAGGTTCATAATCTGCTGGAAGGGGCCGTAAAGAGACAAGCGAATACAGAGAACGATTTGACCTGAAAAATAAGATGGACGTTTTAAAAGCAATTTTCAGGTAGAAAAAGATTTTACTGCAGTCTGATACTACCACACTATGACAAATCACCAAGTTCTATTCAAAATTAGATTTCCTTATCTGCAAGGCAAACAAGAAACGAAATGTGATTATACGTTTTCTAAAAGTCTAAAACATGAAAATTATGCTCAAGCATTACTGTCAAAATTTAATATTTATGCCACTATGAAGTAAGATTTATTGCTTATTTGAAATGGCAAAATTGCCTACCAAGAAAGTTTGCTATATACTCAATATATACTATGCATTATTCAAATAAAAATGATTTATTCTTCTTTCACAGAATTTCAGAAGGGTACTCTTGGAAAACTTCCTTGTAGGTTGGAACCACTAGGAAGTTTTCTGTAAAGAGAATGCACACAAATCATGTTGCCAAATGACTGTTTGTCAATATTAACCAGAGATAGCTAAAACCATCTGTCTTACGGACAAGGAAGCACATTTTACTTAAACATAGAGAGGTTTGAAAACTGAACAAAACCTGAACTTAACAAAAGTTCACTGCCAATAACCATAAACTGAAAAATCTATTATTACGAAGAACAAAATCAGACCAATTAAATCAAATCATCTTACTTCCATCCGAAACCTAATCAGTCATTTGTTTCAAAGCCATATCAGTAGATTGAGCTAAAATGCATTTTTGTTTTCATCTATGCTGATCTTGAGCAGTTTCCAAATTACACGCAAAAGTCTTACATAACATTGTACAGCAGGACAAAAAGAGGAGCTTTCAGAAAGTAATACTATATTAGTGACAAAGATTCTGAAGGGCAAAAATACTATTAGTAGAGTCAAACAAAAATATTTCAGCAATGTTATAACAGGAATTCTTCAGAGTGAGAGAAGCACTTAGGAAAAAAAGGGTTCAGTTAATTATAAGAAAAAGTCCTAATCATAAGAGATTTCAAGGTTTGCAGATCCCAGCAGCAGACGGTACCTCAGTCTTATTTAGAAAGAGAGAAGACAAAACTCTAGAGGGCGACACTTTACATGATTCTTTATTTGCCATTGAGTTCTCTACAAGAACTGCTCTGCAGTTCACAAATTCTCTATAGAAATAAACGTATACTCACCACAAATAAATTCCAAGCTCATCCACATGTGCCGAAGCTAGAAAATCTCCTGTAGGTGACATAGTAATGCTCACAGCTGCAGAGTCTACCAAAAAGCAATCTATGAGGCTACGGAGAGAAAGCACAACACAGAAAATGAATCCAACCAAAACACTGAAAGTGTTCAAATACTACATATGTAAACTTAACAAATGAATAGCACTGGCCAATCAGTTACTCACTAACCTCTCTGGAACTCTCTAAAATCAGCTAGAACTGGTACATCCAGGTTACCTCCTTAGCATGGATGTTGTGTGGAAAATACAATGACTCGCCTGTCCACATTCAGGCCCAGCACTAACCTCTTTAGTGGCAACAGATCTTACACTTCCAACAAGCCCCAAGCTGTTGTGATCTCATCTGTTAATTCTCTACCATTACTTGTCAGCTCCCTCAAGACATTTCATATGCACTCGGCGCCAAGTGTGATCCTAAAGCGCAAAATGAAATGTACCCTACAAAATCTGATTATCTGCAGGAGTTTGTCTTGGTGTACATCAAGCTGGCATCTCCAGCATGATATACCATTCCCTGATCAATCCTTTCACTACTGAAAAGAAAAGACAAATTAAGAAATAAAAACATACAATATATTGAAGTCTATGACTACCGAGTCAGAGTAAGTCACTTTTGAGTTCCAGTCTTTGTTGAAAGCCCTGGGTGATGCACACCACAGGAGACCTCCTTCTAATCTACAATTCTTAGCACTTCTTGTCACTTGCTTACACATACATTTCAGTTACTTCTAATCTTCAAGCTAGTTGATTTAGATGACCAGGTCATTAACAGAAACAGCGGAAAGAAAAGGCGAAGTATGAATGGTTTGGTCTTAATTACAGACGAAAATCAAAAGTAAAGTGAGAAGGGCTAACTGCAGTTAGTGCTACAATTATGGAGGACAGAACAATAACAATTTATTCCATTCAAACTACAGAGAAAAATGTTAATTTCATAAAGCAGTTAAAATATATTCCCATTTTAATGGCACTCAGCAATCTTGCAAAGATTTGCCAAATGAAGTTAAATGTCCCACCTTTACGCATCAAAAAGATTTAAAAAATTCCTTATGAATGCTGTCAGATGTAAATTACAAGTTAAAAGTTAAAAGGTAAAGTAATAGGTACACAATTCACCACTTCCAGTGTAAAATAAATGAACACTAAAGCCATAAATGCCTGAACATGCATTAATGTAGGGTATGCTGCCTAAAAAATTTACCAGAAGGACGGCTGTTTTGTTTTGTTTTCTGTTGTTGTTTTTTGTAAATCCATCTTACTGATAAAGTGAGAACTATTGTTCACTAAAGTAACCATGAAGAACAAATGCAACATTAAAAGTCGAAATAAACCAACTTTTCCTATTTACTGATCTTAAACCATGGTTTGAATTACAGATTTAAAAAAAAATTAATGGAAGAACAACGAGACATATGCCTGTGATTCTCATGCAAAAATGTACAATACTTGCTAAATGAACCCTGCCTAGACTGAAGTTGTTCATGTTTACACTGACTTAAAAAATAGGACCATGGAAAGGATAAAATAAGAGGCTGCTGGAAAATAAAGTATGTTTTCACTACCAGGTTATAGGAATGGCAAAAGGTTTTCCTTTTTAACTCTGTCTCAAGACGTTCATCCAAAGCATAAACTGAAAGGCTTTAGAAAGACAGGTATCCAGCATTCTCTTTTAACCTCACTCATCTTCACCATCCTTGCATTGCTTTTTCGTAATAAATGATCATTCTCTACTTCTTTTCAACTCATTGGCCACGCACAGTCAGCAGCCGAGGAAATGCTAAATATCTGAGATACTCTGCATCAGTTACTCTGTGAATTGGCAATGCTACATTTCTGCACATTCCAGTACTATTTTCACTGTTAGCGAACTTAGTATTATCATCCAGGTAGTAATGAAAAAGAGAAAAAGAAAATGTTGTAATTGTTAAGTCAGAGGAAAAAGGGTCACTAAGGAGATAAACTAATAGATGGAACCAACTGCTTTTTCCTCTTCTTAGTACTGTTCATCTCACACACAGAACAGGCGTGCTGCTGGAAGGAAAAAAATTGCTATTGTGCAACTGAACGTTACATTACAATAGGCACAAATAAGGCAGGAAAGAAAAGTTATGTTGGCCGGGAACTTTTGGCTGTCTTTTCCTTTCTTTGGGTTTGAAACAAACTTTCATAACATAATTTCAAGAACGTTTATGCGATGTCTTCTTAAAGAACAAGAATTACAGATTTCTCTTGCTGCAAACACACTGATGTGCATTTGTATGAATATAGAAGACATTTTTTCAATAATACATTTTTAGCATTTAGAAGATATACTTAAGCAAACATGGAAACTCAGAAGCAAACCATGTACACAAATTTCCTAACCATTATGCCAAATTTCTCTTCAACTATGTGTGTTTGTACCATGCACCCTGATATGAATGCACCATAATAAAAAATTAAGTCTAATATGTATGAACTATAACACTACACCCAATACCCAAATTCTTTTCTTACTCAAACAACACTAAAACTCAAGTCGAAATATAAATGAAAGAATACAATGATTTTTAACATTATTTTAGAGCTAACTTCCTAGAGTTCCCATCTTCCTTAGAAAATGAACACGAGTATTTCTTGGACAAACTTGATTTCTACTTAGCTTCTTTAAATAACCTTAAATATACCATATAAAACTTCTTCCATAACAGATATGCACTATATATCTTCACCTGATCCTGTTATTTCAACCTCAAAAAAAAATTTCCATTTGCTTTAAAAAGTGAATTCTTGTATGCTCGCAAGAGTTTGATAATACTGTTGGATACACATTACAGAAATTGCTTTAACATAGGATTAGGTTGTTCGAACAACAAAATAAAAATAGAGTTAAACAAATGAAACTGAAAAATATGTTAACAAATACCAAGAAGACCTAGTGGAATGTAAACTCTCCCCCCATTCAGACTGGCTGGATGACAGTCTCCTCTCATCCCGTTCCATTTCAGACTACTGCCATGCCTCGTGCAAATATAGGTCAAGTGCTAGATGACATACATCACACACTTCGTAGTAAAATGAAAGCTGTCACAGCATGCAAAAATAGTACACCAGGAAGCAGGAAGCATCATTTTTGGCAGTTACAAGCAAGCACAAATTAAAAATATAACTGAACTAAAACCCTACTGTGTTCCTAATACAAAAGCAATTGAGATGATGGTTTCTATTTTTCTATTTGCACATTTTCTATTTATCACAAGATACCTCTTTCAGTGACCTCTTGCCATTTATACTACAGTGCTGCTTCTTGCTTAAGAATGAATTCACACTTTTACTCCATATTTCATCATCAGACCTGCAGGACACCACTTGTCCAAGATTCCATATTTTCAGCAAAAAGCTCCTGTTGCTAGCATCACACAACACCGGCTACATCCTACTTCAAATTTTGTGTACTACAAGTTCTTGACAGATGATAAAGCCAGGGGCTTTTCACCACTTAACACATAGAATGGGAATTAAAAGAGCTCTGTGCAATAGCTTTTTAAATTGACTCACCATCCAGAAGGAAGGTCCCAAGTCTTTATGGTACAATCCATTGATGAGGTTATTAGCCAACGACCATCAGGACTGAATGTCTATTAAAAAAAAAAACTCAATTTAAAGTCAAGACTGGCAAGTCAATACAGTAAGTCTTGTGTTACATGGTCCAAGAATAAATTGTTCTCTAAGATCAGGATAAAATGAATGGCCATAAAAAGAAACCTAACAATATTTTACTATTAGACAAAAAAAGTCAAAAAACACAAGCTATTCCAGAATAAGTCTGCATATTCTAACAAAGATTACATACGGTTCTAGGGTACACATTTTAGGCCTAGTGTATGCATTTATGATTAAAGCATGAAACATAAAACTGAAAAACAATAAAAAAAACCCGAATCCCCAAAATACTAATTTCCTAGTACTTAAATCTAAGTCAGAAACTATAAATCAGAGTATTAAGTAAATAGAGTATGTCAATGACCACTGCAAAGTGTTATTTAACAAGATGTAAAGAAATCACAAGTGTGTTACACAACTTCAGAAGTGCTTCCTTCTTGTATTTAACTGACATGTTTTATCTACATAAACAGTTTTAAGACTGCTGCACAACTTTACACCTCAGTGTGACTTTAAGTTTTCCTAATACTTAGGTTTTTGTGTTAAACCTAAAATTATAGTTTGTTGTAAAATTTTAATAAAATCCCAAATCATGCTAAAAACGTTATCTTTTCAGTACCGTACATCTTAAGTTGCAAACTGACAAATCGCTGCTGCAACAGAGTTGACATAGTACTTTTATTGTTCATAGCTGAACACAATACTTAGTGAAATAGTATATCTACGCAATTTTATCTTCTTTAAAAATAATTAAGTATTTGTATACATCACTTTCTATTGTGAAAAGTTAACAATTACCATGTCGTTAATTTGTCCATGGTGTCCTGAGAATCTCCTGACAATCTTCCTGGTTTCTATATCCAAAATACTAATACTGAAGTCATCAGAGGCAATTCCCAGAATACCGCTGCCAAAACCAATAGCACATTTGACAAAGAGCATTCAAAGACAAAGGAAAACGTCCTAACCTTGCTCAAAGACTTTTATCCTGAGATAATCTCAGAGAAACAGGATTGAAGTGCAACTGTCTACTACTTTTACAAGAAATTTTATCAACCTAATAAGACAGCTGTACTTTGAAGCATCAGAAGTCTAAGCTATGTTAGTATCTTTAGGTATCTTTGGTTGCTGAACTAGATGTTAGTATCTTTAGGTATCTTTGATTGCTGAACTCAGCTTAGACGATTACAGCAAAACAAAACACATAACCAAAGCTTTAGTTTCTTACCTATCTCTATGAAGCAGAATTCCACTTGGAGGAGAAGAAAGATCAGTGGAGTGAACCAGGTCTTTAGTTTTGAATTTCCAAAATTTAACTAATCCTTCTTTTCCAGCTGTGATTGTCAGTTGGTTTAATCCATCTACTGCCACCCCTCTAACAGCCCCTTCATGTGCTAAAGGCAAAAGGATTTGTATTTCAGAATTCAAACATACTGTTCCATAAGTGTAGTTTATTACATGAGCAGTAAAGAATATGACAAAAATTACAAAACCACCTAATAAACTTGTAAGATTCAAGCTCAGTTAATTTATGAGCAGAGAAACCAAATCCACAAAGCACACTGCTTGCAAGTTCACAGCATGCAAGACTTACAAAGCAGCAACAAACATAGCACATGAGGATACATGACATAAAATACACACTCACATAATTATTTGGAGAGAAAGCATGAACACCATCACTTATGTTCAAGAGCTCTGTTTGCATACACTGTTATTTAATTGTTGCAAATAACTGGATTACTGGACTACTACTTGGTTGCTGTTCTAATAAAAGGTGATATCCTTACCTCTTTCCTTGCCGTAACACCCTCTGTGAAGGCCAGACTGCATATTATACACATCTACCTGCCCCGTTGACATCCCAATTACAGCAAAGTTTCCACATGTGGTAATATCAACTGCCTTTGGAGAAGAAAAACACAAACAAGAAAAAAATCTTAAAAGTATATTCCTCATTAGGAAAGATGTTAAAATACAAACTATTCATCTAAAGAATACAATTGTTTTTTTTTTTTAAAAAAAAAAAAAACTTATTAAACTTCTTAAAGCAAAGCAGCACAAAATAAACAGTTTATCATTCTGAAAAAAAAAAAAGAAAAGCAGAGAAAGAAGACTTTAAAATGAGGAAATTGGCAACAAACAAAAAAAGGGACAACACAAGCTCGCAAGTAATGAAATTCCGGACTACTAACATTTAATTCCTGTAATAATGTAACTCCTATAACTTAAATAGCCTATATTCCTAAAACTGTGAGTTCTATGAATTCAATCCCTAAGATAAAAGCTAAAATTGCCTGCTACCACTCCCCTTATGTGCCAGTACTGCCAATGGCACCATAACACTGCAAGTTCACACAGAGCTTAAGTTCTAAGAAACAGAGAAACGATGGTCTAGGTGTTTTTGAAAATGTAAAATCTGAACAATCTGTTAAGAGAAACCACATATTTGCAAGAGAACTTACGAATTTACCAAAGTGCTAAGCATAAGATAAAAGAAGTTATCACAAAATAAAATAATAACTCATAGCATAACAGCTGTGGCACAGTAAATACTTGTGTTGCAAGCTCTTAAGTTACAGCAAACATTTAAACCTCTTTTAAGAGAGTGCTTGACTTCACTGTGTGCTTAGCTTGCAAGACATTTTAAAGGGAATTTGAAAATACACTTTTCCTATTAAAAAACAAAGCAGCAATTTGCCCACATGAGCAAGTATGAGAGTTTGCCATTGGAGGCATATAATCATTTTGACACCATTAAAAAAAATTAAATGTAAACATGGAATACTAAGTGACCGAATCATAAAAGAGAACTTGCAGTTCACTTGCACATTCAGCATTTTTCTTAAAACCATTCACATTACAAAAAAGTAAGTAGGACACTCTTGAAACTTGAAGAAAAAACTGCAAAGCAACTAAATAAAACATCTCTAGAACGTACTTTCTACATCTAAATTCTGTTTCTATACAACAAACCAAAATGACATACACTGTAATTCTGAAGAAACACTGGCATGAAAAAAAACTTACTGTTGCATATATATCAAGAGGCTTATAATTGCTAAATTCCTCCGGCATCAGTTTATGAGCTCCCATAGAACATCTCTGATAGTTCCACGTTGTACAGGTTATATACCCTTGATGGCAGGCAATGATACCATCCCAGTCATTCTGATGTGCTATTTCTGCAGTGCAACATATATTCACTTTAGAAACAGTAATTCCGAAGGGAAATAAACTTCTCTTACATGAAAGTAGCAGCATTTTTGAACAACCTTACTCAAACAATTTACATCGATGATTTATTTTGGACAGAGTCAAGGAGCTAACATTAAAAAAAAAAGCATACCTGGCAAACACTAATACAATTCCAGTTGCTGCTGCAACTGAAATTCCAAAGAAAACCAAATAATACTTCTCTGGTACATGACGATACATTTGATATCTATGTATACTTGAGTCAATGTGGTTTGAAAAACATATTTACACTTAAATTAGCAGTATTTAGGAATCAGTCATCCTCTATAACTAACTTTCCTCAGCAACTTAAGATCTTCAACACCTTATTGCTGATCCTCCAGCCTGGAACAAAATGTATGATAGAACACTCTCATTCCCATATTGTAGTTTTTTCAGCCAAAAGCTGGTTGAATTTAAAGGAATGTGAAGTGAAATGTTCTTACTGGAAATGTAAATATATATATATATATATTATAAGCTTTTTTGTAAGAAAAGAATTTGTTATGTAAAATGTCATTTTAAACGGACACTCCACAGCTCTCGAAGGGTCACAGAATCCCAGTCATCTCATCAGTACAATGCAGACTTTCAACCCATCATTTTTTTGAAGAGATAGTAATGAAAACATGATGAGCTCTGCCATAAGATTGCTTACCTGAAGCAAAGGCTGTAATGGGTGGAAGTGCCATTGTATCATTCTTAAGACCTTTCCTTTTTGATTTCTTTTTATTAATTGAACCTTAAAATAAAAAGCAAAAAACAAAACAATGAGTATTGCTTTAAAATGGTCAATTCGCTAAACAAAGTTTCTATAAAACTTAGAAAACTCTGGCCTATTTTTTTTTGAAACTGACATATATTTTGAAACTATTATTCTATGTAACAGACTCATTAACTAACTGAAACTAAGCTTTTCACTACTCAATCCTCATGGTCTCTTTACAGGTGCTTTTAACACAAGCTTCAGGTTATAATAATACATTCAAATAAACTTACAGAAATTTCCAAATAATAAATTATAGCTTCCCCATAATGTGATTTAAGTTTCTGAAAATTATCAGTAATGTAAAGAGCAAGTGGATTGTGTTAGTGTCATGGATTTGTCTTTTTTCTCTTTTTTTAAACAGAATTTTTAAAAAAAGGAAAATATTTGCATTTGTCATACTAAGTCAATGGCTAATATATACTCATTCCTGAAACACAATCTGTCATCTTCACTATCTAAACATCCCCTTGTTTTATGGGAACTATCCAAACATCTCTCTAGTAGAATATGTGACAAATCCATGAATAAGAAAGAAAAGGAAATCGATTACTATTTTAGCTTAATTGACAAGCTTCTGTGTAACAGATCTTAAGTCCAGGATGATCCATCAATGGAAAATATTTATCTCTACAGTGAAATAATACTGTTATTTCCAAGGGTTTGAGGAGTTAAGAGCATAAATAAGAGTTCCTGTCACATAGCTAACTTTTCTTCCAGGATCTGGTGCTGACATCCTGAAGCAGAGATGCCACCATCAGAAATAAAAAGATGGTCATGCAGGCATGACTACATAAAGCAATATATTAACACACACCTTTTATTATCAAAAACTCAGGACTTCGAAATTCAATGTCCAAAGTATGTAAAAGATGAAGTAAACTACACCTGTCTTCTTGAATCTGCTGAAATACCTAGATTTCCATATATATAGATATCTAAAAACAGAAGTTATTCTGTTCAGTTTGTCTGAACTGGGTAAGAAAATGCCCCATAACAATGGCAGTGCTTGGAACATATTTTTTTAATTAAGCTTTGTGATTAAATCCAAGGTACTGGAGACAAGAAAAATGCCCTAGTTGTGTTAATTTAGCTAATTCAGTAGAAGAGCATACAGAAAAAGAGTCAAGTATGTAAAATGAAATAAAATGTCACCTACTGTTTTACACCCTCTTAATATAAAAACCACACTCAGCTTCTCCCGAAGTAAACTAACACATCAGTTAGAATAACTAACTAGTTTCTCTAGTCACTCGAGTTTACTCTCAAAGTAAACTAACTTCTTGGGCTAGAGAAATTAGCTTGCTTAGATATTTTAACAAGGCAAGCATATCAGAGTGTACTTTACACATCAGAAACAATTACATTTATTGAGCAACTGAGGTGCAGAGCTCTCATGCAACAGTTTTAATGAAAATAAGGCCCAATATTTTAGCACCTTTCTACATAAGTATTTCCTCAAGTTCTGTCACAACTATTTGTACTTTCACCAACATACTTACCACGTCCTAAACTTTTATTGAATCTTTCATGCACTGTTGAAAATGACTGTAATGTTCCATCTTGACCTGATGAAATATCAGAGAAGGGCATAAAACAAACACCTTTATATTATGCACAATCTTACCAAACAAGAAACATAAGTACTCAGAAACCACAAAATTACAATAAATATTTAATAAAAATTCTGTTCCAAGGATAAATGCAGATACACTATAAACTATGAAACTAATGAAGCCTAGATTTCTATGGCCTATATCCCATTCCCTCTATTTTGCCCCACAGAGATAATAGTGACATCTCTTTCTCATATTCTTCTTCTCCTAAAACACTTCAATTCTCTATTGTCTGCTTTAAAATAAAGCAGATAAAATGAGTATGTACAGCAAAAGCAACTCCTAAGCCTGTCAGTTTGTAACCATTTTTTGGTCTGAAACAAAAGGTGCATTCCTTAGGGTAACAAAGGGCAACTGTGAAGGAGTTTGCTACAACAATAATGACACTAGCTAGATTAATTACTTCCTGTGTTTCACAAAAACACGTAATCTGTAATACATGAAGTATAAATTACTACATGAACAAAACAAAAACATTGACTTCTGCACGTTTCACCATCCTAGTAGAAGATCAGCTGAAGAACATTAACAAGAATTCATACCTGCACTAAGAATTTGCTCTCCATTTTGCCCATGGTATCTGATTTTTGTTGGAGGTGCACTATGTCCCATTCGGCTCCTCAGCAGACGACCAGTTCCACCAGGTCCATCAAAAATCCACACCTGGACCCAGACAATGAAGAAAAATGAAACTCCTAAACACCACCGTGACAATAACAACAGCTCTTCGCAGCATGGTAAACTAGCAGCCAGCAAAAAATCCACACGTGGGCTGTTACTCTTGATCCTAAATCTTCATAGGTGCCAGAGCACTTGATTTTCCCCAGGTATTCATTCTGCCCCTTTACCTGAGGTTACTGGCATCAGAGAACCCATGACACAAGCGGTATTTCTCAGACACAACACTTTATAGCCCTAAACACTAACAAAATCTAACTAGATGAAGATTTGGGTTAGTGAACTAGGCTATAAATTGCTGTTCCAGAAGAGTGGATCCAGAACTTAGTTCTTCAAGGCTACCATGTTCTCATCGCATCAGCAGACCCTTCATTCACTTCACTACAAATCAACAGAAACGGAGAGAGAGTACGTTCAGCTATCTTAAGTCTTGTTTCATTTTAAAAATGACTGCTTCAACCTAAACTAAATACTCACACTTTGGATGACTATGGGAGGGAAAAAGAAAATTAAAAAGCAGGCAGCAACAACTTACCCTTATGGCATTATCAGCACCATTAGTAATAAGAAGCGGCTCCCCGGGGACAAACGACATACCAGCTACTGCTGTGGAATGGGCATTTCGCATCTGACTAATTATTTTCTTCTCCTCTAGGTCCCATAGGGCAATGTGTCCAACAGGGCTACCAGCTGCCATTACTGGGTGTCCATCTACTCACAAAATAAAACAATGCTCGTTTCTCGACTTTCAATACAACCATATTTATTTCTCTTAGGCTAAAACCAATGCAAGAAAGTGATATACATCACAAATGTGAAGAAGAAAAAAATTCTCAAGCTAACTCTAAAAATATGCTTTAGCAAAATATTCCAATCTTTCAAACAGAAAAGAAATAAAGGTAACCGACAATAAAAACAGGAATCTTCGTAACAGATGACACCAGGTATGCTGAACTGCAGCATTCTGATACAATAGATAAGACTTAAAATTTTGCTACAACATTTTTAGAAAAATCTCTATTCTGCTTCTTTTTCCCCAAAATGTATAAGTCTTCATGTTTCAGAATATAACAGCTACTTTAACACCACTTTAGAAGCTAACTCTCTCTATTTTTAATCCTGTTAGGTTTGTGGCTCAACATCTGGCAAAAAATTCTAAAACTGATCACATTTATTGAATTAATAATTAAAATTCACATTTCACAGGCTTTCTAATTTTTGCTCTACTTTTCTATTTCATCTAATATTAAGGAGATTAACATGTCATAATAGCTTCCATAAATGTACTACAAACACTCAGGTAAGTGAGACATTATGTCAAGGTTAAACAGTTGTCCATTTCCTAGGTAACTGACAAATTGCTTTAGATGTAAGAAAAGAAAAGGCCAGCTTCCAATTTATGATTATATACACCATGGACATCTAAAATAGACAGCCTCAGGGCCGCTTTCTTCTGTAGTGCTGTGAAATTGGTCAATAGCTCATTTTAGTTTTAATAGATAGTAATTTACTTAAAGCCTGAAATGAGTACAGGAATTCAAAACAACTAAAATGATTCTTTGGACCAATCATTGTTATATTATATTTCACAAAAGTAAAGACAAGAAGAGAGACAAACAGATTGGAGGGAGAATCTATATTCTGTTAAGATATTAAAGTTAGTCTTAACTAATGAGAAATGAGATTCAGGATCACAATGCTGTAGAATAGGATCATATATATGTATATATATATGTGTGTGTATGTGTGTGTGTGTGTATATATATATATTTATATATATATATATATATACACACACATGTATATTCACTAATCCTCAGTAACACCCATTCAGGAATAATCCATCTACATAAAAGAAACCAGAATATATCAATATTCTGACTTGTTTTAACTGGGAAGACACTGCTGAAAAGTAAGCCTGGTACAAACACAGAGGGTACTGATTGTACTAACTCCTGTGGTGACAGCCCTTGGCATGCTATAAATACTAACTGACTCACTTCAATGTGAAAAAGAAACACCATGCCTCATGATTCCTGTGCACTGCGAGTGTGCACACAAGAAAACACTATAAAACAACAAGCATGGTAAAGATGCACAAGCTCTCTAACTTTTTGGCAACTTTTCTAGATTATTTATAGCCTTTGACAACTAAAACTCTCAACACTGCCCCCAAACTTTGGGTCTGAAATGCTTTTACGAAAGCATTACTGTATTTTAATTACGTAAGTATTTTCACTGAAAGTGCAAAGATTTACCTGTCCGAAAAGATATTGCTGTGATGGGACCCCAGTCTTGCTGAAATTTCATCAGAGTTTCATCGAACTTAATATTATGTACAATGATGTGACCAGATACCAGACCCACTGCAACAACATCCACTGCTGGGGCCTGCAAGAAACATTACATGGTAGCTAAAGAGAAGAACAAGAAGCTACACTAGCAAACTGGTAGGTACAAGGCAACACATCTAAGTCTAGGGACAAGTTGAACACAATTTGTTCAGAATAATCAAATAAGGTTCCTTGCAAGCCATCTACATTTTACCATTTGATAAATCTAAACAAAAAAACAGAGACACACAAAAAGTTGCATTTACTCTTCACAGAATAAAACTATTCTGTTTTTCAGAAGACTGAACTTCCCAGAAAAACAGACCACCAGTATTTCTGGCGGACCATTATACACCCCTGTCTCACACATTCACATCTACAAGTTTTATCAAGGACAACTGCAGACCATTATGAGCTGTCACCAATGTCTGAAATGCTACCAGTTAGTTTTCATTTTTTTTATTATCAGTATTTTTAATAAAACTAAACACAATAATAAAATCTCTTCTTATATCATCAAACCTACATTTTCTAAATGTCCAAGGAAAAATAATTTTAAACAGCAACAAACAATCAGTGTAACAAATGTCACACATCATAAGATCTGCATCTTGCAAATAGATTGTTTCTGTGAAATCATTACGTCACTCAGCAAATAGAGATTACAGAAGTAACAAATAGCACATGGCTAAGATGCAAAGTATGATAGAACTGACAGGACTAGGGCAAAGGCCTCAAGCCTTTCAAGTCTTATCTTTTCAATGTGTGAAAATCTAGGGAGGCTTATTAACATGACTTAAAAGAATATAAACTTTATGGCTATACGGTTAAACAAGAATATTTTCCCTGCTATTCTCAACCAGTTACATAAGATAGTAAGATACTAAAAAAATACTAACTTGTTGAAGAGTCGTGACTCCTAAGCCCCATCCTGCAAATGAGTATAGGAGTTTACTGGAGGGGGGGAAATTAAAAGAAAAAAAAAAAAGAAAAAAGAAGTTAGTATCATGCATTAATACTTCAAAATTAATAAAGTTTACATAGCTACATAATTTAAACAGGGAGAAAAACTCATTCCAAGCCAGTTGCTCCCTATGCATTTCTCCTCTAAGCAGACCTCTTCAGAACTTTCACTGTCCACACAACAAGGTGGTTCAACTAATAAGTTCCTTATTTGCAGAGTAACTTCACTGCACAAAGACACTAATTGTCTTTGAAGTATACTCTTTCTTCTTTCTTCTTCAAAAAGGTGTTAACAGCCAAAATGTAATGCAAGAATGGTCACAAAGTCGTCAAAGTAGTCACACAGTACTTCAGATGCTAATGAAGGGTGTAAATAAGAAAATGGTATTCAAGAACAGATGCAATTAAAAAAAATTCCATCAGCCACAGATATAAGTTGCTATTCTTACAAGACTGACAATAACAATCTGCTCCCTCCTCTCACTTTCCTTTCTCGCCACAGGTTATCAACCCTTTCCCCCATTCTGTCTTTGTTTGTTTGTTTCTTTTCCTATTTTTTTTTCTTGGCAGATTGTTCTCACATCTATCTGTGATACCACGCAGAGGAAAGACACTGGAGAAATTACGTAACAAGGGGGTAGCAACAATGTCCTAAGTTCTTCTTAAGGAAAAACCTAAGCCACCGAAGGAGGATTACCTAATGTCTCTGAATTACTGCATCTTAGATGCTGTGGCAGGCATTCAAGATTGAAACAAGGGTAGGGTAAGTACAGGCATATACTTCTTCTGCGTTTGTATTTTACACTACGTCATTCTTACTTTCTGTATGTATACAGTGCACCCGATATATTAAATATACAACAGAAAAAGTCCGTGGCATCACTGAAAGTTAAGAGAATAACTCTTAACAGCAGTTAAGAGAATAATACACTTAACTATGCAATCTGTACCAACGCATATTTGCATTATGTATATTTATATACAGCAATAGCGAATTTCCCCCAACTTTTAGGAGTTAAAAAACAGCAGATGGCAGTAAGCACGAAATACTGTCATTACAGACTCTGCTTTACTAGGATATGCTCAGAGACAACCGCATACCAACACACTTCTCAACAAACTCTAAGTATCAGATACTAACTGCCTCCACGTTACCTGCTGCCACTTCCTTGGACCAGCACCAACCATAAAATCAAACTTGGAAAAGAGAATCAGAAGGCCTGAACATGCACTTAGTATCATTTTAATTATTTTCATGGGAAAGCTAAGTGATTCCAAGAAATAGTAAAAAAAAAGATAACATAATAAAAAAATTCCTGCACGTTCCCTGACAGAAGAAAGAGCAAAAACAACACACAACTTGAAAGAGATCAGCATTAAGGGTGCAGCAGCATTCTTGTGTTCTGGAGACGGACCAACTGAAAACTTCTGCCAAAGGATTCAGTAAAAGATTCCACATTTGAAAATTACCATGCCTAAAAATACCAGCTGCTGCAAACAAAACTACTTGGAGTACAAAGTATATCTGAGTTATTAAGAACCTTACTTGGATCTTATATTCCACAGCTGCAAGCTCCCTTGTTCACTACCAAGGAGAATTTTATTCAAATAGGTGCTTGGATGCAGGATTGCAGAAACTGCAAAAACAGCCTTATCAAAATCCAGTCGAAGATATTCCTCTGCAAAAAAGTTACAAATAACGTTAGTCTTGGCCACCTCTGCAAATCTGCAGGCTCATGATCCCTTGGCAAGTGCAAAAGGCAGAACTGATGTTTACTTTGTATGAATCCCATAACTGGGGTTACTTACATGAAAGGATTAGCTAACATATAGCAGGACAGGCCAAATGTGTTTGCATTATAACATCTGTTTGCCTGAAGGTATATTTTTCCCCTATAAACCTACTGATTACAACAATGCTGTCAAAACTGTAGTGATTTATTTTTCTGAAAGATTCCTGTTCCTGCCTGAGCAAAACACCTCATCTGATCAGCATACCATTTGCCTGCAGTAGCAACTTCCAATCACTAATGCCAGTTTGCAGCCACATGTGGAGCCAGCATGCAGAAAATGATGGTCTGAGAATGCTTTCTAAAGAAGACTCAGGCTACCAATACAGGATCCCATAAGACACTTTCCAATGGCATGAGAAGATGCTGACACGACAAACATTATTCATAGGAACTTAATTTTACCCAGACTAATAACAATCAAAGAATTACAGGATTTTAGGGATGATGCCAAAACTGCTGTAACACACTTTTTACCAGGAAAAGGAGTTTTAATATATAATTTCTGTAGCAGCAGACTTCTGTAGGCCCATCTGGATCTTCACTGTGGCTTTACACGCAGTGCAGAACTCATGCATGAAAAATTATTGCGGCATTACAAATTCAAATTACTGTTTAAGTAACATTGTTTAAGTCTTCTTTTAGAGTAAACTAATCTCTAATATGCACACTAAGGAACCCTTCTTAAATTACTTATTGTTTTACAACACATGACATTAGACTTGTAACAATAAAATGTCTCACCTTCTGATTGTACATCCCAAACAATAAGAACATTAGCAGTATCCACAGAGATGACATGGTCACCAAAAGGCAGTAGAAGGTGTATCCTTCCCTTGTGACCTTCATAGGTATGAACTACCTAGAATTTCAAAACAGACATTTTTTCAATATAATCTGTTCAGATGGCATACCATGTTATCCTACCGATCAACGTCTGCCAATACACCCTTAAAAATAAATTTAAGTGAAATACAGGGAAAGATGACAAATGTTTCAAAGAAAAAAATATGTTTTCTTTGTTATTAAAAGGTGTTTGCAAGTTACTTTGATTAATACATAAAAACACAGGTCAGACATTACAGAATTTGTCCTTACATTTTCCTATTTTAAGTTTTTATTGGTCTTTCTGCAGAAGTTGTTGTTGTTGTTTGTTTATTTTTTCCTAAAATTTAGTGTATAAAACATCCATGGAAACTTAAGTGTGGAAGATTGCCTAGAAAACAACTACAAACTACTCATCTGTTTCATATTACACCAAGCAACAAGCTCAAAACGATATAAACCTCTTTGTTCCTGGCAAGAGCATGGAAAACATTCTCATATGAAGCAAAAACCAACATCCGATCTGCGGCCAAACATGTAATGTCTTGTGGCAAAGCATTACCTGTTAATGAAAAGACAGTGAGGTTAAAAACATTTCCAGTTCACAGTCAAAGAGTAAGCCTATCAGTGTATTTTTCTAGCACAGTAATCAACTAAAAAAGCTGTTTTGTTGAAAGAAGAAATGTGTACATTTTAGAAAAACACATTGATAAAACAGAATGTGGATCTTCTTCTGAGAAACACTTAATAATAAAATACTTAACTTACACTGTAAGTAAAGGCAAATATTAATTTCCTAAACTTTACAAAATAACACTTCTAAAGACAAATACTTCGCCCCACAGCCTACTGGATTTGAAACAGATGATAAACAGAGAATTAGCAAATGCCTGTTAGATTACGCCATTCCACAAGCTGGGAAATCACTGCCACATCTGTTTCTTTTTCAGGACAGCAAACTTACTGCTTTAAGAACAAATATAATCTCCCACCCAGTGACTGACTGAGAAAGTAAATCCACTCCTGCAATCAGCTACTGAACTAGCTCAAGTAGTAAAAGAGCATTTTACAGATCCAAGCTCCAAACCACACTGAGACACTGATATGGTTTCATGAGATCGAAACCTGGAAGAACACTCCTACACCTAGGAAAGTACACGAATAAAAAGCACAGTACTTGGGGATTGTACGTTGTCTGAAAAGTATCAGACCAAGAATCATCTGTGCAACTTTAAGTCATTCACCTGCAAACTTGCACGATCACACAGGATGCATTTCGATATTGCTTTGTAACATGAATTATGTGATACAACGAATCCTATACTGCAATACATCTTTAAGGGGAAGAATTAAACAAAATAAGAAAAGCTGCACTTTGAGAGATTTAATTTGTTTATACATGTTAAGAGTTCTTCTGATAACACCTCTGAAGGGACTTATGTCTAAAAAATCACAGTACTCAAGTCTGATACTGCACATAACTGCTGTGCAAGCCTGCTTAAGATAGACAGTTACAGACTAGTCCAGATTAAAATTCAGAGCACTAATCATATCATCACTAAACTCGTAACATCACATAGAAAAGAACATCATTTTTTTTCAACCGAGATTTTGCATTTCAGTGTCTTCATTCTTCAAAAGGCTTAAGATTTAACGGAATATGCATCATTTTCATGACTGTATTGTCAAAATAGAACTTCTATTAATCTGTCTACAACAATAAGTTAAGCATTCACTAAGTACTTCTAAATCTAGTGTCTGTTCTGTAACAGTGACTATTCTTAAGCTTCCAGATGCTCAGCTACCAAGAGTATCTATTTTTCAAGATCTGTGCAGGAATTTTGTGGAACACAGAAGTAAAATCCAACTTTTGAAGGCAGTGTACACCTTGCAGACCGCTGGCTGGATGTCACCTGCGCAGCATCCCACCAGCCCCAGAAACTGGATGGTCCCTGCTGTCAGTGAGGGTGGCTGCCACGGTGCACTCAGCCAGGTCCCACACAAGGCAGATCCCACCTCTGCTGCATGGCAGTTCTCTCCTGGGAAAAGTCTTTTCCCCAGTTTCCCTTCTGCAGCTGCAGCCCGCAGTTGTGGTCTCTCGTTACTGTCTGCCACTATCCCCAAAGCCCCCTCTGACACCCTGGTAACTGCTCTTTGGGCAGAGATGGGTTGGTTTTAGGCTGTCTCTTAGCCTTCACAAGACCAGACAAGCCAAGTTATTCCAGCCTCTCCCCTCAGCCCATGTGCTGTAGGGCCCTCATCCCCTCCAGCTTCCCCACAAGGAAGGAGGTGACAGCTGGGTGCGCCAGCCAGGCAGGGAGCCACAACAGTCCTGGACCTGCTGCCCACACCGCTCCCGGGAGGCCGGGAACGGGGATCACCTCGCCTGTCCTGGGGGCTCCGGGTCCGCTCCAGCTTCGAGCACAGCCCCTTGCTCCCCAGCGGAGCAGCTTGGCACTCCGTGACGTTCCTGCCTTCCCAAGGCTGTGGGTGGTGCTGCCTGGAGCCTCTGCCTGGCAGCACCGTGGGGCTCGTGCCCCAGCGGCAGGGAAGAACCGAGCGACACGGGCGTCTCTGCAACATGCAGGGCACCACATCCAGCCAGCAGATCCTGTTCTCTGCCCAGCAACACAGCCCATCTCTAACCCCCTGTAAAGCCTTCTGAGACTCAAACCTTCCTCTTATTACAAAGGCTTCCAATAAGTGCAACAGAAAAAAAAAAAAAAAGACAAAGACTAGGCCTCATGCTTCTTTGTGCCTAAAGAAGGCAATTCGACACAAAATGTGTTTTTTTTTTTTTTTTTTTGCAAGATGGGAAAAAGCCCACAAAGTATACCGCTAAGAGAACTAAGTTACGGTCATAAAAGACAACCTTACTTCCAAACTGGCATTACCAATCCTCATATTTCATTCTAAGGCTCTTTTCCACATACTTCAGGGTATGTATTTATATAGACAATTCAACTCTCGTTTTTTGAATTCAAGGTTGCCTACACATATTTTTAACCTGAACAAACAAACAAACAAAAAGAGTTCGAACGAGCTGCGTATACTTACTCACGGCAACAATACCAAGCTTGTTCACCTAAGAAGACAGAAAAAAAAAAGAAGATTAATGAGATGAAAATGCGTTTTTCCTTGTTTGTGGCTCCGAAACTACTTCCAACAGAAACTCGGGGATCCTGCCCAGACACAGCACTCAGCCAACGG